TCTGCTTTCAAAGCAATTTCATTGTAGAAAAGACCACACACACACACACACACACACACACACACACACACACAAAGTACTTTATTATTTTTAGTGTGCATTCTCTCTTACCTCACTTTCTTCATTTAAAAAACCTTAGGTCAGCATAGTACTAAAAGGCCACGTGCTTAATTTCAGCACGTGGTTTCTCTACTCAGCTCTGTGAACAGACTTCAGCCCTGACCTGCCATTTCCCTGACTGTATACTCTGGCCTTTCTGAGAAAAGACTGCTGGTTGTGTAATGCAATATAATTTGTTTGTACAAGTGGCTGCTCATCTATGCCCTGAGCCAGATTTAAAAGGCTTATGCATTACACAGTCTTCAGATGCAGCTTACCTATTAAGTTACACTGAAAACCACTAAATTTGTGTAGATCTTTTTACTATCTGTGTAGGTAAGTAGAAAATGTGAAGCACCAACAGGTTTTGCTGTCACTCATTTAATGGATGGTCATTCATAGTGAGATAATGCCTGCACTGGTGAAGGTCCAGTTGTTTGAAGCTGTCACTGTCCAACATTTCTACAACATTGTCTAAGAGATAATCTAGCTAGATCACTGAATGCAGCTAATTTCATAATGCCCCTAGCATTCTGCTGTGTGTTAGGAGACTATTAGAACAAGCAGCTTAGAGAAAAATAAAACCCCAAACTAGACAGAGATTCCCTAAACTTCTGCAACAAGCTTACACTATTTTTAAAAGCAAGTTTAGGTACAGGAATTTTCCAGTCATTTTGCCTATCCAGTTCTTGCTGTTAGTGTGCTGTTTTAAATTCTTCAGAATATAGTCCCATGTTCTTGGAAACATCTTCATTACAACCTTCAAGAAAGAGAAACTGGTTATCAGATCATAGATCAAAGTAATCATTAACCTGATGCAACTAAAATGGGACATACGGGGACATTTTCTAATGTTAATTTTGGAATGTACTAGTAGGAATGCAAATACCATGTGGACATAAAGTTCATTTAGTAAAATGCTTCAGGGGATCTCTCCCTTCGAAGTCAGGCAACCCCTATTACTTGAACTGAAGGACTGAGTCCGTTGCTTAGAGCTAGTAGCTGACTCAAGAGCCTATGGGCTAATGATTTTCAACAAGGGTGCCATGGCACCCTGAGGTGCTTTGAGATCCTTTCAGGAGTGCTGCAGGGTGCCACAATATCAGCATTGTTAGTTGTGCAAACATGATTCACTAGATAAACTTCAACTTCTCATAGGTATTCACAATATTAAAAACATTTTTGACTTGTGGTTTTTCTGAGATCTTTGCAATGAAAGAATTGCTCTATTATATTTTTTGGAGTAAAAATGAGTGAAAACTAACAGCTAGCATTTTTAAGGGTACCTTGAATCTAAAAAGGTTGAGAATCACTGGTCTAGCCATTAGAGAAAGACTGAGGACATAGATAATTGGTTTTAAAAATCACACACAAGAGCTACAAACTACAAAACTATATGAATTAACTTGTGCATGGATAAAACCATTAGCAGAAACAAGAAACCATTAGCAGATATGAGACCACCATTTGAAACAGGGAATCTGGAGTTTGTTTCCTAGGGAAGTCGATTTCAAAAGTGCCCAGAAGCCCCTTCTGGACTTTGAAGTACCCTCTTACATTATGAGCAGCTACATATCCCATGAAGTAAGAGGGAGCTGTCTAACTGGCAGTCTGTGGGCCACATGTGGCCTGGGAGGGATTAACATGTGGTTCTCATTCAGCTGCTGCTGTCCCTATGGCTTCAGCTATAACAGCAGCTGGGGGCTTGGCACTTCCCTTCCTCCCTGAGCTTCTGCTGCCTGACTCAGCCCCAATGCAACTTGGCACAACCTGGCAGCCAGGATCTTTTGTGCAACATGGCATCAAGGAGGAGCCTGCAGCTGCAGGCAAGACAGGGTGCCACACTACATGGGGACAAGAACACCTGCCTGCTCATATGCAGTACAATTGGGTGGAGGAGCACCCATTCATATGCACAGGGTGCAGCCTGGGGTGGGACAGCATGGCCCCTGCTAGTATAACTCCCATGGTATACAGACCCCATGGGTGCAGCCTGTGGCTCATGCAGACCCCAGCCGTTTACAAACGAAACAGCTCTGAAGCAGGATATCCTGACTCCAGTGAAATCCACAGCAAAAAGCTTTCACTCCAAGTCTTAAGAACATGAGGAATACCATTTACTGCATTGGACCATAGGTCCACCTAGCCCAGTATGTTATTTCATACAGTAGCACCGTATGAATTCTGCGTGGGAAGCTGAGCAGGGCATGTTAGGAAGCCCTTTGTGTGAGCATCAAGGTTACTGGCATTTAAAAAGGGTCCCTTGATGCAACCTTAACTAGCTGGGACACAACAAGCTCTATACAGAATCTTCCACCCCTGTTCCTTTCCCCATTACATCTTCCAGCAATCAGATTGAAGAAGTTCTAATTCAAGGCTGCACCCTTATCTATAACGGGCAATAGCTACTGATAAACCTTTACTTCAAGAATGTGTCCAATCCCCTTTTGAACTGGGTTAAGCTACCACAGCTTCAACGTTATTCTGTGGCAAGGAATTACCCGAGTTAATTACACACTGTGAGAAACGATTTCTTTTTAGTTTTAAAGCTGCTAGTTTAGATTTTCATTTTATGTCCCCTAGTTCTTATCTTTTGAGAGATCAGAAATACTAAATCCCTACTTACTTTCTGTGCACCATTTAATTTTTGCTTTGAGTTTAAAGCTGCTTGATTGCATGGCCCACTCTAAGGTAGCACCCTGCCATCCCTTCTATCCTACTTTCTTTGGCTTGCTTTGAGTAAGTTGTTTCATTAACACTTCATTCATTAGTCCAACTCCCAGCCCCAAAAGTCATCTACCCAATTCCCATCTCAGCATGACAACCAACATAATTCCTCTCCAAACTCAGTCTTTCAGTGAATCACTCTATTGCTATCTCCATGATCCCCACCATAAAACACACTGTAGACAGAAAATGCTGTATGAGTATTATACCAGAGCAGTGATTCTCAACCATGGTGCCATGGCATCCTGGGGTGCCTTGAGATCCTTTCAAAGGTGCCACACAATGTTAGCATGATTAGGTTTACAAACATAATTCACAAGATAAACCCAGGAATTTCAAATAAAAATCCATACTTGTCTTTGAGCACTTTGCAACAGAAAAAACTTCTCAATTCTTTTTCTGTATGCAAAAAAAGATTGAAAACTAAGAGCTGGCATTGTCCAAGGGGTGCCTCAATTCTAAATAGTTTGAGAACCCCTGCACCAGAGAAACCCAAGGAGGGATAGAAATGAGGATGCCATGTCTCTCAGCATCAAGTCAATCATCAGTCATCAGTTCCTTGATGTGGTCTTAACAAGCTGGGGCACAAATGTGTGTTTCATAGTAATCCTGATGTTCTTAAAATCTTGAACAACTGAAATAGTCAACTTTCACCAAGTGAAGCTAGTTAATGATGGTAAATGTTGCAAGAGCATTGTGCAGCATGTTGCAACAGCATTGTGAATTATATACTATTGGAAAGCTACTTTTTTCTTAAATGTTGGCCATGGTCATTTAGGGCATTTTTACATATACTCTTGTGTCCTGCAACACAGGTGTGGCAGATGAACTCGGAGACAGGTGGAGTGGGTGGCATAGGCGGAGGGAGAAAAAAAAATGGGGGGGGGTAGGGAGGGCTGAATGTGCACGCACATGCGTGCATGCACCACCCCCTCCAGGAAAGTCTGCGGGGATAGGGGGAAGGGGAAGGGGAAGGGGCGGGAAATGGGGCTGGGACCAGGCAGGGATGGGAGGAGAGCCAGGCCCAGGATTGAGGCTGGGGCCCACTGCGCCTGTCCCTTCCCCCACGCCCAGAGTTGTTGTTCAGTGCCAGTGGCCCCTGTAAATTCATTGCCCCTGGCCCGCATTGCCTTGGTTGTACCGCCAGGCTGGAGAAGATGGAGCTGGCAGGATCCCTGTGTCCATCCCGCATCGTCCCTGGGAAGAGCCCGGCGGCTTTACCAGGGGCGCAGCACTGGGCAGCCAAGGGGGACCCATGGCCCCCAAATCTTTGAATGTGGCACAGGCAGGCTACAGCTACAAGCTGAACTCTGCCTTCTCCATGCCTCACTGCTGTCTTTCAAAGCGGTACAGCACAGTGAACTAAAGCACCTCTGATGTGTTTTAGTTCATAAGTGTGCTTCCACCATTTTCTCGGTGCTGACATGCATTTTGCCACTTATACAACTACAAGCATCACAGTACCGGCCACTTTTCAAAGCACCTGGCACTGTGGCGCTTGCATGTGTAAAAAAGTCCTTACAGTGCCTACACGCGTGCTTGGGGGTGGGGAGGGGCTGTTTTAATTAGAGCAGTTCTCCAACAATCTCTCTAATTAAAATGTCTCACTGTCATACGTATTAAGTCCCCTCGTGTTTTAAAATGGCCGTGGGGGCACTTTAATTAAAGTTCATTCAATGAGCTTTAGTTAAAAGGCCTGTGCGGCCATTTAAAAATGTTGGGGGGCTTAACACATGTGACAGTGAGGCGATGCTGGAGCATTCTAATTAGAATGTGAACCAGCATGTCTATAGGCAGCCTTAGGGTAGTATAGCTTACTGAAAAAGGCTGTTTCCTAAATAAGCCAGTTGAATAGGACAACACATTATAACAATGTGGCAATGAAGATTTTACTTAAACCGTTCAGAGAAAATAGATATTTTTGTCGATCATTTAGGAAACAAAGGCACAGGTTAAGTTTGCATGTGTCAAGATATCTTGCAATAAGAAGTTAGAGTAATTCTAAGCTCATTTTCTCTCCTTGGAAAGAGATTATTCAAAATAAAGTACCACATTTAAGTATCAAGCACAAATGTTTCGTTTCTTAAAGCAAGAATTTCTGGTATTCAGCATTCCAGTAAGATTGCTATATTGCTACATATTTATTAGAAGTGCCTGCAGACCATGCCAGATACCTACCGTTTACAACAACAGAAGATAGACATGGGGTTCTCCTCTTCTAACCTGTACCTGCCAGAGTTTGGTAGATCTTTACACTGCGACATAAATGTGTGAAGTTCTGTCTCTGGAAAGCCATCTTGCTGGTAATGCTATAGAGATTCAGTCAGTTTTTTCTTAATTGCACTAACAGACAACAAATCAACTTCGTGGTTTATTTACTTTTACTTAAGTCAAAGACTTTGACTCAAAGTCTATCCCCACCCAAATTTGGAGCACAATTCTTTCAGGGAAGTGGTGGGACATTCTAAAACACAGTAGCCACTGTAGAGTAGCGCAAGTTAAATGTAGAATCTGGGACATGAAAATAGATTGGGAGTTTATGGTCTAGATTACAATACAGGCAACTCCCGCTTAACGCTCTTTCGCTTAGTACTATTTCACTATACCACTCATTCTAAATTGGTGCCTGATTTTACTTAGCACTCACCGAGTTTCATTACAATGCTCGTAGTTGTCATTTTGGGTCATTAAAAACACCTGCGGTTGCCATCTTGGATTGTTAAATACTTTCGGTTTCACTTGCTTCGTTTTTCAGGAATCAATTAAGAGTGCTAAGTGGGGGTTGCCTTTACATTGTTTCACCTGCCTCAGTA